TCAGTCCTACAGCGCCACACCAGGATACTACCTGAACCATAGATTGGATTAATTTGTAAAGAGAAACACACTGTTTTAAGAAATCTCCTCCTGCTGTTATGTGGCTCATACACTGCAAAATATTGCAAGAAAGAGTTGAATTTTTCAGAAAACTTTGGGCTACAGATTGGGAAAAATGTAAATAATTTATAAAGTTATTTTCTGATACCAAATTGAATGGCAAGACTTAAATGCAATGACTGACTCATATCCTTAGTGAAATTTGCTCTACAAAGTGAGTCAACTCTTGGCATGGATTCTTGCTGGCTCATATTTCAGAACTTATTACTTTTCTACCAAACTCCACAACAAGACATCCATTTATCTACAAGATATAGATAGCGCCCTTCAGTCCTGCAAGTTTTCGGGACTATCTCCCTTTGCCAAAAAATGTTTTCTCATATATTTTAATTTCTTACTACTTTCTGATAAAAACCTGTATAAGAACTTATCTAAAACAAAATCAAAACCCCTTGGCATTGAGTCAATTCTGACTCACAGCAACCCCCTGTGTTACAGACTGCAGCTATCCCATAGGGTTTCCTTAGCTATAATCTTTATAGAAAGCGTTTTCCAAGCTTTTCTTTTGAGGTACTATTGGGTGGGTTCAAACTGGCAATCTTTAGGTTAGTAGTTAAGTACAAACCATTCACACCACTTAGAAACCTAAGAAGGAATTTGTTATTGTTAAGTGATAAGGAGCTCTGGTAGCATAGTGGTTACGAATCGGGCTGCGAACCGCAAGGTCCGCAGTTTGAAACTGAAAACCCTGTTCAGGGTTGCTATGGGTCGGAACCAACTCGACAGCACTTAAGAACAACAACACTGCAATTCAAACCAATCTTGAGGTTGAGTACTTATCCTATGGTGCCACACTAGTGCTTTAGGTAATGTTAAAGAAGTCTCTCCCTCTCAAGCTCTCTCAAGCTCCCAAAGGGGCCACGGAGGCCACTAGAACTCAACAGAGTCAAGTCAGAACATTGACAATGAACTGCCAGTCATTAGACTCATCATTTGTGGTTTCTGAGAATTCAAGAGGCTTTGTCCTAGACCAAGGAACTCTGGTAGCGTAGAGGTTACAAATCGGGCTGCGAACCACAAGGTCAGCAGTTCAAAACTACCAGCTGTTCCACTGGAGAAAGATAAGGCTTTCTGTTCCCGAAAAGATTTACAGCCTCAGAAACCCTGTACAAGATTGCTTTGAGTCAAAACCGACTGCACGGCACATAACCACCACCATCACATAGCCCAATTGTCTCCCTCCCCACAGCATCCCACTTTAACATCCGTTCAAAGTTCTCCTGGTTTGAACAGGCAGAACCATGTAAAATAGCCCTTAATCTACCATTAACGTTTAATCTGGAGTGTGGTGTGAGGTCTGGAATGTTGGACCCACTCAGCCCTCAGGCCCCATGACTAATCCCCAATGCAGCCATTTCATTTGGCACCCTTCATTTTCAGAAAATAGGGCTGGCTTTGGATCCTGCTTCTAAAGCAGGTCCCAAGCATCTACCCAGCAGAGAAGGCTGGCATGTGCCTCGGGGTCAGGCTCAAGGTCACTGCGGACTATGAAGGCCACCAATTCTGTATGTCCATTAATCTGTTGTTGTTGTGTGCCATGGAGTCCTTTGAACTCATAGCGATTCTGTGTAGGGTTTCCAGAGTGACTAGTGAATTTGAACCACAAATTTTGCTGTTAGCAATGCAGTGTTTCTCCTACAACACCACACCAAGGCTGTAGAGGTGCGTACATATAGCCTGGGAGATTAGTATATGGAGTCCTTTGAACTCATAGTGATTCTGTGTAGGGTTTCCAGAGCATCTAGTGAATTTGAACCACAAATTTTGCTGTTAGCAATGCAGTGTTTCTCCTACAATACCACAGCAAGGCTGTAGAGGTGCGTACATAAAGCCTGGGAGATTAGTATATTTAGGAAGCTAACCTAAAGAACTGACCCATGAGAAATGATCCCTGAAGAGTCAAGGCAGTTGTATTTCCAGAAGAAACCCCATCCTCTAATTTGTACTCATTGGTCCTTGTGAGTTATAGAGAATATCTAGTACTCATCCACATCTTATTGCCTTAAAGATTAAAGGACAGCTATGCAGCATCCAGGAGTCCTGGTGTGGCACTGTAGGTTAATGCACTGGACTGCAAAGTCAGTTTGAACCACAGTGTAGGCAGTTCAAGCTCACCAGCCGCTCCTCGGAAACCCTACACAGGGTCACTATGGGTGGGAACCAACTTGATGGTACTTCACAACAACAACAACGTGGAGTTGTGGTGTGACACTGTAGGATAAGTACTGGACTACCAACTATAAGGTTGATGTTTCAAACCCACCAGCATTTCCTTGGAAACCCTATAAAAAGTTACTATGAGTTTTAAAGACTCCACGGCAAGTAACAACAACAGATTAGTTGATTTAGTGAATTTGGGCTTTCATAGTCTGTGGTGATCTCAATCCCGAATCAAAGGCACATTCCCACTACCTCTGCTAGGCAACCTTGGAAAAAATTTTACTTTACTTTAGTTAAATGTATGGAACACTGTATTCCATATGAGTGGTCATATTCTGACCATTACTTTCAACTGGATGCCCTTTGGAGTCAAGGCATCCAGAACTGAAGGTAATGGTCAGAATATGACCACTCATATGGAGTATAGTGTTCCCTATATTAACTATAGCACAAGTATAACCATCCTTTGGACAAAATTCTTAATCCCACGATCAACTGAATATCGGATCGCCTAACTCGTTATCAAAAGTGTTGATCTAGGCAAGCTACTGCTAGCACCGTCATGAACTACCAACTGCTTCAGGCCAGCTTTCCTGGTAGTCTCCCAATTCCAATAATCATTTTCACTGACATTATGGGAATAATGTTCACTATATTCAGATCATGGTTTCAAGGGCTGTCACCTGGAATAGTGAATATCCCCGGCTATTATTAGGAAAGGCCTTAGGAACACACGTGGGTGTTGAGAATGGCACCCTCATGTGTGTACTTCTATAGAAGTCAGTGAGTGATAGGTTGATTTCCTGGTAGTAAAACAGTGGTTTAGCCTCCTTCCTGCCCAAAGTGTCAACCATTTACATAGATTTGAACTCTCCATTCTGGTGATCGAACTGATTGAACTACAACACTCTCAGGCCCAAGCGGCAGAGATCTAAGTGACTGGCATGAATTAGATAGTTTTTCTTGGATCGACAATATGGTCTTGCAAGAGTGAGACTGGAAAGAATGCTAAAGGAGGAGTGAGGAAATCCAGTTTCTTTTGTTTACCCCATCCAGCCAATTCACTATCTAATTCTTTCTTACTGGCATCTTGGATTTAGTGTCTGTCTTCGTAAAATGAAATCGGATTAAAGGATTTCTAAAGGCATTTCTAGCTCTATTTTCTTTTTAAAATTCTACTCAACAGAACAAATACTTATTGAGGGCTAGTTGCATTCAGGAGTCCTGCTGTGGCACTGTGGGTTAATGCGCCAGACTGCAAAGCCATTTGAACTGCAAGGCCGGTGGTTCAAACTCACCAGCTACAGGGTCGCTATGGGTTGGAGCTGACTCAACAGCACTTAACAACAACAACAGTTGTATTCAAGGTTCTGTGCCTCAGAGTGGTGTGGTGTGGGAGTGAAGGGAAATTGTTTCTGCATCAACACCATTTTCACATCTGTGAAATCTAATTGTTCTGAGGTTGCCCTTAACCAGTGCTGGGGTCCTGGTAGCTCCTGTCTGAGTTTTGCTTCCTCTTACATCCTCAATGATGGATCAAGGAAAATCTAAATCCATAGTAAAATAAAATAAGACTAAACCCACAGAGGAGCACTAGTGGCACAGCAGAGTATTTGGTTACTAGCCAAAGGTGAAAGGTTTGAACTCACTAGTTACCTCACTATGGAAAGATGTGACAGCCTGCTTCCATAAAGACTGGCCTTGAGAACCCTATGGGTCAGTTCCGCTTTGTCCTATGGGATCTTTATGAGTCAGAATCGACTCATCAGCAAAAGGTTTGGCTGTTTATTTGTTTGTTGTTGTTGTTGTTTTAAACTCACAGGCAGTGAGTTGGAGGCTAAGCCTCAGATAAACAGGAAGCTCCTTTCTGGAAACTTATCATTTGTATTTATATCTACAATATAGATCATATTTTTCTTTTTGAAAAAAACTCAGTAATTTAGACGGCCTAAAGAAGATGAACAAGTTTACGAAATAGCACTTTTTCAAATAGCCTAATTGTGTTCTGGATTTTAGCATCTTCCTTCTGAGTTTTGTTTGGGGGTTCCAAGTTCCCATTCTGGACTAGCTATATAGTTGGTGGGAATCATTGTAAAATGAAAATTTGAAGCCCCTTGCTCAAATATTGAGTGTGAGTAGTGTCATTAAAGGTAATAATTTTGCCTGGAGAGTCACAGCAAATATCCAGGGCCATGTTCTGCTATGCCAGACTACCATAGCCCTACAGACTTCAAATGCAAAGATGAAATAGAGTTTAGAAACTTTATTGTTTGACTTGAAGACCATAAAATCATATACCATAAGACTGAAGACAGAGTAATTTAAGAGGATGTAATGGATGCAAGTATTTCATAAATGGTAAGTGTTCATTGTTCTTTCAAGATTCAAGATGACAAAAAGTAATTGGCTGGCATATTAGTTTAGTTGTTAGATGTGAATATGGGCATAATGCTACAAAATACAAAGACTTGGTACTTGAAAATGCAAAAAATACTGACAACGCAGTCAAAATTGCAGAGCCATTTTAAGACTGGGGCATTGGCTTACTCAGATTCAACTTCATGACAATTACCTGACAATGCTTAAGGCAAGTTTCTCTGTGGTTCTGGGGTCCCTAGAACTCCAAACTTCTGTTTAATTTGCTTTAGAAACAGGATGTAGTGGCCAAAGCAAATCCAACATGAGGGCTTACCTATTGCTTTAGACAGCGTAGTCTTCATTTAGACATAGAAAAGATAGTTTCTAATGAAGCTGCTCAAGTTCTGCAACTGCTGCAGATAGATGAGGTCAAAGAGCTACAGAAGAAAAAAAAACACCAAAAATTATAAAAATATGGTTTTATCCTAAATAGTAATGTCGCTATAGTAGCTGCCCAGGCAATTGTTGTAGAGCCAAAGACAGACCATAGACTGGGAAAAGTTGGAAGACAAGCATTTTAGTATTTTAGGTTTGTACTTAGCACAATTGGGAAGTTGTTGTTAAGTCCTGTTGAGTCAGTTCTGACTCAATGTGACCCTGTATAGGGTTTCCAAGGAGCTGTTGGTAGGTTTGAATGGCCGATCTTACAGTCTGCAGTCTAGTGCTTATTCTAGAAACCAAGTGTTACATTTTCAAGGGAAGAATCCCAGAAAACTGACAATATTCTAGAGTTTTACCATCATTGCTTTTTTCTTTAATGAAGTTCGGAGAAGTAAAAATAAAATGTAAAAAGTATAAAGCTTTGTAAAATAGATTTTATTACTTGTAAAACACAAGAGGATTTACAATGATATGTAAGAACAACATAAAATTGCAAATTGCAACAATAATACTTTGTATTAACTTTATATAATAAAATAACTAGTAATATATTTAATAGTCTTTAATTTTGAGGAGAATAGTTCTGCTGATGTGTGACTGATCTCTTAATATTTTATAGGCTGTAATAGTATTAGCATGAATTTCTGATAAACTATTTTGAAATAATAAATTTTAGGAAACCTAGTGCTGCTTTTTCTAGTAAACAGTTTTTCTAAAATGATTTGACTCTTCTTACAAGTTAGTCTCATGTAAGTCTGAGATTAATTTTAAATGTAATTTTACACAGTGGGGTTTTAATATTTCTTCTAACATTTTCTGTAATTTATGGACTTATAAGGCACTGAAAGTAGTTTCATGTTGTATATGTTACTGTTAGGTGCCATCCAGTTGGTTCTGACTCATAATGATCCTCTGCACAACAGAACAAAACACTGCCCAGTTCTATGCCATCCTCACAATAGTTGTTACACTTGAGCCCACTGCTGCTGCCACTGTGTCAATCCTTCTTGTTGGGGTCTTCCTCTTTATCACTGAACCTCCACTTTACCAAGCATGATGTCCTTCTCCAGGGACTGGTCCCTCCCAATAATTGCTATGTATTTTATCACTATATGCTCAATTACAAGGAGATTTAATTTTTAATTATCTTCCAGGTTAATAATTATTTCACTCTTAACGTGACATTAAAATAGTGTTATTCTCTGTCAAAACTACTACCTTTACATTTAACATCTATTTCTAAACCTAAGGTTATTTGCTTTATTATGTTCAGCAGTTTTCAAAACCAACATTTCTGGACTCTTCGAAGAATTCTAACAAATATTTGCTTTATTGCAATACCCACATATACAGTTGTATCTTGTCTCAATTTACCACAATAAGTTCACTACCCCACCTTCCAACATCCCAAAATGTCCCAACCATTCACATGTGCCCCTGGTTGGCCTGTCAGCTTACACGCTGCCTGTGCCCACAGACCTGAGCCTTTGTTGTATGTTAATGCCCTATTACCCTGGGTATCATCTCTGCTTATGCACATGGTCCATCATATGCTCAGATTTCACTTACAAAACACAAGTTCAAAAGTTAACTTATTAAGAATTTCAAGATAACAATAGCTGTTGGTTGGCCAGCAGTATGATGAGAACTGGGGACTCCTGGGCCCAGGGGCAGGGACATGGCCCCAGAGGACTAGAGTGGAGTGTGAAGCATCCAGCTGATATGAAGTGAGGGGAGATGCACAAGAACACTCACACTTGCAGATAGTACACATTTGACCTGGCATCAATGGCTGGATGATCAGAACACGACTAGAGGAAGAAAGAAGAGGAAAAAAAGAGTAATCCACTACAATTAGATGAAATTAACCTATGTTTGTGGATGTAGTATGGCAAAGGAGCAAACAAATCTTTACAGTGAGGCTCATTCCCACCCCCTTGGTACACAGGGTCACCAAGGATGGGGAACTTAAAAATTGGCAACCCAAAATCGGGGCAGGGGGCTACAAAGGCAAGAAGTGACTAGCTTACAAACTTTTAATAGGGAACCTAGTTCCAGAAGGTACGGGTAAAAGTAGAATCTCCACTGAGTTGTTTCCAACCTGTCTGGATGGGGCTGATAAAAAGTGATGGGGATAAGACTCCTGTGGTTCAGTAGGGAATGATTGCTATCAGGTCTCACAGTGCATGTTAGAAAGGTAAAGGTAGATGTTTTGTAACAAAAGAAGGGGAGTGGTTGATTTTGCAGTCCAGAAGCAGAGTTTCCTGGAACCATCACGGGAGAAAAGCAAAGTGTGGGACCCTGTCCAGAAAAGCAGTGACACCAGGGATGGAGGCAGAGACAATGACATGGAGAGAAGTGACTAGGGACTCTAAACCCAGAGAGGGAGAGGGGGCTGTGTGCTGGCGGACTGGGAGCAAGTGTGTGGGGTGTACCCTTTGGTTGTTTGCTGATGTATGCAAGGGATTGTAATCATTGCAATGAAATGAAATGCATTAGGATGAATATAAAGATAATGTTCTCCCATGTAATACATAATTCACAATAAGACAAAAACAAAAAAGATAACAAGAGCTGAGCAGTAAATTAAGCCAGCGTTCTTTCTGAGAGGATAGCCCTGTGTAACAGTACAGGTTGCATGCCAAAGAAACCAACCCAGCTTACGGCTTCACAGGAATCTATTTATCTTTTACCTGAATTTTTAGGATACTACATGAGGCTTTCTGCTCCCATAAAGATTTACAGCCTTGGAAACCCTGTACAAGGTCACTATGAGTTGGAACCGACTCCACAGCACATAACAACAACAACAACACAACAACAAAAGAGCTCTAGTGGTGTCATGGTTAAACTTTTGGTTCCTAATAGAAAGGTTAGAGGTTGAAACACATGAGTCACTCTGCAGGAGAAAAATATGTCAGGTTGTTTCCACTGGAAAACTCTTACACTGCGGATGGGACTGTATCATGGTACAACCATTGAGAAAAATGATATAGTGCTTTATTTAAAAGTCGGAAATAGAGATACTATAAGATCCAGCAATCTCACTGTGTTGTTGTTAGGTGCCATCGAGTCAGTACAGACTCATAGTGACCCTATGTACAAAACACTGCCCAGTTCTGCACCAATCTCACAACTGTTGTTAAGCCCATTGATGGAGTCACTGTGCCAGTGCATCTCATTGGGGGTCTTCCTCTCCTTCTCTGATAATAGAACAAATATAATATTCTTCTTCAGGGACTGATCCTACATGGTAATATGTCTGAAATATGAGAGATGAAGTCTGGGCATCTTGGCTTCCAAGAAGCATTCTGGTTATACTTCTTCCAACACCGATCTGTTCTTTTGGTAGTCTATGGTACTTTTAGGAGTCCTGGTGTGGTGCTGTGGGTTAATGCGCCAGACTGCAAAGCTGTTTGAACTGCAAGATCAGTGGTTCA